ATACATGCATTCATTACAGGATGGGGGATAGATTCAAAAACAACAAAATCTTCAGACATGCCGTGCCCCACTTTAGCCAAAATGTCCGCAGCCATGTTTGACTCACGCATCGCATGAGAGATCTTCACATGGGGGATACAACGAAGGAGGTCCCTCTAAGTGGATGGTTCTCAATGGGATCTTTAGATAACAAATTAACAGCAGTAAGGGAATCAGTTTCAATGAGTAAATGAGAAAAGTTTCTAAAGACAGCAAGTTGGAGTCCATCTCTAATTGCCCACAGTTCTGCTAACAGAATAGATGACCATCCAATTCTTTTGGAAAATCCAAGGATCCAATTACCCCAAGAATCTCTTATTAGACCACCTCTTGCATCCTTCCCAGGATTATCGATAGCCGAGCCATCGGTGTTCAATTTGAGAAAGGACGGGGGAGGCTTGATCCATTTGTACATACTAGTGGGGCGTTGGTTCTGCCTCTTATAAGGAACTGTACTTTAATATTCTGCTGCTCTTTCAACAATAAGCTTAGAGGCCGAAATAATAGGATAGGGGTGGGTTGAATGCATGAGTTGGTTCCTATGAAGCCAAATACCCCAAATGGCAAAGCAAAAAACAACATTCCAAGGGATGTTTAGAATGTTTGACTTCTCCGAGCATTGAAAGTTAAAGTGAAGCCACTCCACAAACTCTAATTGTTGCTGTTGCGTAGTGGAGATGCCAGGTAGGAGACTTCCTAGAATTTGGGATGATATAGGGCACATCCTAACCAAATGTTCGACAGTCTCGTCTCCAACTTGACACCGAGGACAGGATGCCGAAGCACAAATGCCTAGCTTATTAAGAAAATCAAAGCATTTAAGTCGCCGATGGGTAAGCAGCCATATGAAATGTTGGATTTTTGGGAGGGTGGGGGCTTTCCAAACCCATTTCCAGTTGTTATCAGCCGACATAGTGGGGTCCTTCAAGCACTGGTAGGCTAAAGCTGCAGAAAATTCACCATCAGGGGAGTTTTTCCAAGCAAACCCATCATCTTTTGTGGAAGACAAGGAGATAGGGGTAGCTTGAATAATAGCAAGAATATTACTTGGGAGATCATAGTTAATCAAGTTAGGGGCCTCTCCCGCGGCTTGAAAGTACTCTTCCACAGTAATATTAGCAAAGTTAGCATTGTGAGGGCCAAAGACCGTTGCTGACAAAGGTGAGGACCCTACCCAGCAATCATTCCAGAAACTGATTTCCTGCCAGTTCTGGGTAACCATTTGATATTGTTAATGAATAGCTCATAACCTTTGCCAATAGCTTTCCATGAGGGGGATCCAGAACGAGTGGGTACCATGTGAGGATTTGAAATATTATATTTCTTTCAGTAAAGTTCACTCCAACGTTTGCCTTTTTCTTTATGCAATCGCCAATTCAACTTGGACATAGCAACAATATTGGATTCCTTTGAGCTTTTCAACCCCAGCCCTCCATTCTTCTTTCCTTTAGTGACTTTGTCCCAACTTACAAGATGGATCTTTCTATGTTCTGGTTCGGTACCCCAAATAAAATTTCTGGACATGCAATCCAACTCCATATGGATAGCTACAGGCAAGAGGGATGATTGCATATAGTAATTGGGAATGGAGGCCAAAACAGAACTTGCAAGAGCAGTACGACCAGCAAAGGCTAGGAATTTAGACTTCTAACTAGCAAGTTTGCCACGAACTTCATCCACCGCAAATTGCCATTTGCTCTTATTCAGTTTTTGAGCTGAGATAGGTATACTAAGATATTTACCCAAATCGTCCGTTGGAGTATATCCCAGTGTGGAGCAAATAGCTTCCCGAATCCCGAGAGGCCTAGTCCACATTCTTTGAGAACAGGATTTTAGATTTTTGATGGTTAACACACTGTCCTGATCTAAAACAGAAGAAATCAAGAATGTTCTTCAAGTGAATATTATTAGCCACTATAGTTTTCCCCATGATAATGATATCATCTGCAAAGAAAAGGTGGGAAAAAAGTGGCCCTCGTCTACCCGCCTTGCAACCTTTCCATTTGCCATTATCCATGTCTGAAGTAATCTTGATAGATAAATGCTCCATACACATAATGAAAATATAAGGTGATAATGGGTCTCCTTGTTGGATGCCCCTCGAAGGGGAGAAACTATCTGTTTTTTCCCCATTAATAAGAATAGACAGTGAGGAAGAGGTGATAGAGGACAGGATGAGGCGTATAATGTCTGGAGGAAATTTGAAGAACACCAGAGTTTCGTGAATAAAGCTCCATTCAAGTCTATCATATGCCTTTTCTAAATCTAGTTTACAAATCATATCCCCATAATTCCCTGTTTTCTTCCTGAAAAAATATACAAATTCCTGTAAGATAAGGACGTTATCAGTACCTTGTCTCCCGGGAATGAAGCAAGCCTGCCAAGGAGAGATGATTTTGTCCATCCAAGGTTTAATCCTATTAACCAGGATTTTAGAAATGATTTTAAGCACTGTGTTGCATAACCCGATTGGTCTGAACTGGTAAATGGATTCCGGAGCTTTGACTTTGGGGATAAGCACAATAAAGCACTCACACCACTTCGAGGGAATGATCCCAATAGTAAAGATCTCTTTAATATCAGCACAGAGGGTATGTTTAACAATGGACCACATCTTCTGATAAAAAAAAAGGATGAATTCCATCAGGCCCAGGGGCTTTGTAAGGTTGCATAGAATTAGTAGCATCAAGAATTTCCTTCTCAGAAGGGACCCCACTGATAATAGATAAGTCAAAGGAGTGTGAAGTCTCACAGCCAACATTAGCAAATGAATCTGAAAAGGAGTGGGTGTGTGAGCTAGCAAAGAGGTCGTTAAAATAATCCACTACAATAGTTGCAAGAGAATGACCATCATAAACCCAATTACCCCTCTGATCTTTCAACCCATAAATTCTATTATTGGATCTATGTTGGACAATGGAGCAATGGAAGAATTTGGTGTTTCTATCTCCTTGCACTAGCCAATTAGTCCGGGATTTCATCAACCAAAGGTCAACCTCTAGATTGAGAATATTCTCATACTCTTGAAGGAGCTCCTTTTCAAGATTCCAGAGAAAGGGTGAGACATTAGACGCAGGAGATTTTTGGATTCCTCCAAGTCTAGCCAAAATTCTGTTATTCTCCTTGAATACATTTCCAAATGTAACAGCACTCTAAGCTTTGACTTGGAGTTTAGTCTTTTCAAGACACACCGAAGTACAATCATTCCCAATTGACCAGATACTTTGAATGAGGTCTCTGAAATCTAGGTGATCTACCCAGAATTTCTCTAGTCTAAATGGTCATGAACTAGAACGTGGCAAGACAGGGTTAATGTCCAACAAAATGGGACAGTGATCAGAATGAGTACGAGGGAGATGAAAGATAATAGCCTCAAGGAACATGATTTTCTAATCAGGATTTGCCCATGCTTTATCTAATCTCTCCCTAATCAACTACCCAGAGAATCTACAATTCACCCAAGTAAACTTATTTCCCGTAAAACCTAGATCTACCATTTTGCAAGTGTTCATGCAATCAATGTAAGCTTTAACTCTAGACTGAGAAATAGCATTACCCCCAAATTTCTCACTTTGATCAATAATATCATTAAAGTCCCCCACAATAGTCCAAGGGATCTTAACAACGCTTGCCATATTCATTAATTCTTGCCATATTCATTAATTCTTGCCACAAATTAGATCTAATCTTGAATTGAGGTCTACCATAAATACCTGAGAAAAACCAATTAAAAGGGGAAAAAGGATTATTGCGTACCTGGACAACTGCATGGATTGCTTGGGGAGTTTGAGAAACCACTTCCACTGCAACAATCGAGTCATCCCACAGAAGCCACAAGCCACCTACTAAGCCATATGAATCTACGATACAATATTTAGGAAAACCTAAGGAAGCAGCTTGGTCTTTCGCATTTTCCCTATAAAGTTTCGTTTCTAAAATAGCATCATAGACGGATTGTTTAGCCGCTTGAGATCCATAACACATTTTTGAAATCCCAATTTAGCTGCACCACGGTAGTTCCAAGAAATGATCTTCATGGTCCAAATATTAGAGGGTTGTGGTCCTAGGACCAGTTGGGCTAACAACGGGTTCATCTCCGGTTGGGGGCAAGGAAATGTCCAGGTTAGGAATCTCGCTAGCGGAAGTGATATGGAAGGACTAGCACTTCGAACTCCCTCTCCGTCGGAGTCATCAATGACCACAACACTTTTGAAACTAGATGAATTTTTTGCATCTTCCCTTGGAATGTCATCACCTTCAAATGATGCATGTAAGCTGAACTGTTGACAATTTGAGGAATGATAAGGCCCGATGATTCTACTTCTCCTAGCTCGTTGGCGGTTGACTCGAGCCTCATTATCTCGTAAAGATCTGCTTGAATTAAGTCTTCTACTGATGGTGGGATGCGATGGGTTATCTCCGGCAGATTCACCCTCAAATCTGTAAAGATTGGAGCACGCCAAACTGGAAATAGATTTTTCATGGACCATTGAGATCCCCTGCGTGAGACACAATCCAAGATCTAATCTAGAGCTATCTCCATCCGGACTGACATTTGGTCCTTGACCAAGAATACTTGAGTTCTTCGGTGTTGGGGGAAGGAATGGGAAGAGATCCATTTGGTGGTGATTGAGGCGACCAAGGATTTGATTTTGGAAGAGCTTGGGGTGGATCGCCTCATTTTGCAACCTGTGTTGAAGAAGACAGTAAGCTGGTATTACTTGGGAATTGTGTACCCAAAATTGGGCCTTTATTAGCCAGATGTTTGAGTTTAGGCTCTATATGGGCTTCTGGTCTAGTTGGGCCTTGGAGAGTGTTGTGCTTCTTGGCAACCCATTGGGTTGGTTTTGGGTCCGACTTAATTTGAACATCTAAGTTAGTTTTTAAACTCGTTGTCGTAGTCAATTTCAGTTGAGATGATCCAACATTAAATGCACTGACTAATTGACCATTAGTCTGGTTGGAGTGTGTAGTACCGTTAGCTACTTGCACTCTTGGACTGGATTTACGGGTTGGAGCTCCATAATCACGAGCATCTTTCACTTTTGGTGTTATCTCCATTTTTTCTTACACACCGGAAGAGGTACCCACCTTCTTTCTCAGTCGTCGTCTCTCCACCAATAACCATGGCGCATATTCATCTTTTTTCTGCAGATTAATCGACCTCGTTGGATTCGAATTGTTTGTTTCCTTAGAAGTTGTACCAACCGTATCTAACTTTTCCATTACTACCTCTTGTTGGGTGATTGGCACTTCCATCGTTTGAGCAGAAACTTGTTTAATGTTGGGGCATTGATTATTGCGATGTCCAATTCTTCCACAATGGAAGCATAACGCGCTAACCCCTTCATAGATAACCCTTTGTTTCTTCTTCCCTATTCTAACGTGCTTAATCACTGGTTGAGCTAAATCTATTTGGACACAAATCCTAACGTATCTGCCTCTTGTATGATGAGCTGTATGGGCATCCACACGAAGCAGAGGATCGACCTTGTTTCCAATTTTTCTTAATGTAACAGGGTCGTAATGATCAGTAGATAAATTGGGAAGTTGGGCCCAAACGGAAGTGGTTGTTGTTGTGTGGAGAGCTTCTTCCGGGTCAAAGTTGGGTTCCCACCTTCTCATAGTTACGAAATAGGGACCAATAAACCAAGGGCTCCCTTGGATCACCTTGCTCAAATCTTCATTATCATGGAAGGGAACTAGAAAAAAATCAAGTCCCAAATCAATGAAATCCCATTTACCGATGGGCTTCCATTGTCACGAGGATAAACATGGTTATAACCCAGTGACTTGTGGTGGAAGGCCCTAATGATAATAGCATTCATCCATGGCTCCCTAATCTGTCATTTCTCTGCCTTAGAAAGCAGAACAACCGGAGCATCATCATCCGGGTCATCATCCACATCTGAATCTTCCTCCATGTAGCCAGGTATTGTGGAGAAGGAAATGACCGACGGGTTCTCAACCACTAACAGTTTGTCTTTATAGGAAGTCCCAGCAGTTGCTCCAGATGGCTGTGGGATGTTGCCGGTGGGGAGATCTTCATCCATCAGAGTACCTTGGGGATTTGGTTGATCCTGAACTTGTTGTAGTTCCCTGGTTTCAAGCAAGGGAGGATCCTTGCTTGGGAATTCGAGATAACGTCCTCCTTGATCCGCTTAACGCTGCGATCAAGAAGGTCTGATTCCTCCGACGACGGTTGGGCTGTAGAAAGCAAGAGAGTTTCAGACATCGCTATCGCTTCGTTGGTAAACTGAGGACAGAATTACGAGATTGTCTCTTATGATGATGTTCTACACTTCTGCTAAGGGCGAGTTGGTTTTTCTGATATTTAGCCTCCCAAATTAACGTGTGAACTGTGAACACCCAATACTTGTTGGCATAAAAGATTTCAACTAAGAGTGGGGTGAATTGAGTTCTTGAAAATTTTATATGATTTTTGTAAACAAGTCAATGAACAAGTAAATGCAAGCACTTGATATAAAAATAAAAAATAAAAAAGAACCTCCATTCACCTGGAATTAATATTGGTGCTGTGTTGTACGGTAGTTATAGTTCTGCACTGGTGAAACAACAGGTTCCAGCGTGGCAGGTACAGCAACTGCTCCATAATCTTTAATATCCAAGTCGTTCGAGATATGAAGGTAGACCATATTTGTTAGATGAATAAACAGATTTTACCCTCGGATTATTAATCATTTCAAAACGCAAGTTATATTAAAATTGTCAACAATGACTTGACTCTGTGACTGCTTCCTACATTCAGGCACCAGTTGGTCACATTTTCTTAACTGGCGAACATACTAATGTAAAATTTAACGGTTATGCACATGGTGGATACCTTGCAGGTGAGATTATAGGATGGTTATGGTTAATTTTTGGCAAATTAGTGGGCTGAATTGATATTAATTTGAGATCTTATTGATGTTGATCACTAATATTATAGGTATTGAGCTATTGACAAGGGCAAAGCATTACTAGAAAGAAAAATGGTGGAGAAGGAAAGAATGAGATAGAATCAAACTTTCCTGCTAGAACCTTTTTTAGCATTCACAGGATCATTAACTTTCACACAGACAGAGGCAGTCTCCAGTCCCCATAAATGCGATATTCCCACAAAATTATATTTGAGTACTGGAAATTTTGGCATTTTCAGAAGCAATCTTATGATCTACATCTCCATTTAACAACATTCCTGACGATATGAAGAACGAGACAGATGACTTTGTGACTATGAAGAATGAGACAAATGGCAAAGGCAAGGGGTTCCTGTCCACAATTGGACATGCAGAAGTGCAGAACCCTTTACCACCATCTGCAGGGGAGAATTAACAAATGTTATTCAAGAAATATGAAATAGATGCATGAGAGGCCAAACTGCCAAAGCGTG